CATTTAGCTGCAACACTGAGGATGTACAAAAATGATTAGAAAACCCCAGCAAAAACTCCATAGCAGGCACATCACCAAGAGAGTGTTAGCAGTGATGGGAAAGCCTCAGAAGGCTGTGAGTTCAAGTTTGCTTTGGCATGGCTGTAAGAAATTTGCAGAATTCTACAAAGCCTTTCCAAACATTGGAACCACTGAAATTAGGGAAGGGGAGTGGGGAGCAAGGCCAGGAGAGCAGCAGGCACTTTCATCAGCAAGGCCAGAGCACAGAAAAGACCAGGGGAATGTTAAATTCTGAGGAGAGTCCTCCTGGTAATTAATTTTCATCTCTCAGTAAGTTGAGGTCCAAGAACAGGACTTTGCTTGTGCCGGAAAGTGTTTGGAGACTGGTCTTCCAGTCAAGCCTGGCTGCCAATGCTCTGAGTTGCAGTGAGCTTCTGCATTGCACTTATGTGTGCGTATGCACTTGTGGTTGGACAGAGGCTGTGGATATCAAGGAAATGTTGTCTGGGTTCCATGTTAGCAGTATCAGGTCATACCTCTTATTTTGTAGTAAAGAAGAACCTCAGGATATATGCTGCAGCTGTGTATTTGCTGCATTGTTTGTATCCCCTGAAAGGGATGGTAAGTGTAAAGGAAGGAGTGTCTGCAGGAAAACAACTCCTTTAAAGTAGACTTTGTGTAGATGTTATCTTGCTAATGCAAGACCTTAGGAAAACCAGTCCTTTACAGAGAAGGTCCTGAAACAGTGTAAAAGCTTGATTCTGAATTCAGTGGTAAGTTAACATTCCACCCAAAACATTGTTCAATACATCTTTCTGTTCAAAACAGAAGGCAAAATCTACTGGCCAGCTTTCAGTCTCTTTGATACTGCCATTCTCTGCTTATTCAGACTCTTCCGAAGAACCTTTTTTGAGAACTAAGGATACTGAGATCTGATGTTCTGGGCTGAAGCTTTGAAACTGCACACTCTGTTTCTTTTTTCTCCATCCTGTTTTCTGAACATACTGAAATGGACCTTCCATCTCTTTCCATTCTGATTTGTTATCATCTGGATGTAAGGCTAATACTAATACTTTGTTCAGAGACGAGTATTTGCTTGTTTCTTGTGCATTTCATAGATTTTAATGCTAGAAGAAGTGGAGAATCTCTATAACAGAAACTACTGTGTTTCTTTTTGTAATACCTACAGTAGTAATACCTACAATTTCTCTTTCCTTTCTCTTACTGCATGTGTTAACAACAGCACAGTGGAGCTGAATCCTGATGACAGTAAAACAAGAAGTGGTTTAAGAACACTATTTCTCAGCAGATGTTATAAGCAGGACTTCCAACATGAGAGATACTTTGGCAAATGACACGGGGGACATGTCTACGTGTTGGCATGTAGGCACCCAGTCATTTTGCTAGTCAAACAGGCTGTGCTGATGGAAACCTCAGTACTCACGCTTTGTAAATCTAGTGACAAATAGGCTAAGGCACTTGACGAGTAAGTTCATACCTCTATCTGTCTGTCGAATGATAAAATCATTAACTGTCCTATTTTGTCACAGAGCTGTGGTCCTTCCCAGCTTTGCAGTTAGATCAGAGCAGGCCATGTGCTTGAGCAGTACACTTTCCTTTTGGATTCTACTGTGGTGAGGTATGGCACCAAGCTTCTCCTTTTCCATTTTCCCTCCATTTTTTAAAATAATGAAATCTAAGCTGCATTTGAAAACAAAAGAATCCCTGTGATCCTCTAACTGATTCCTTTCCTTATATCCAAATGAAATGCAATAAATGAAATGCAAGTCTATTTCTCTCTCCACAACTGTGAAGAAGTGTTAGGATTGAGATTACCTAGTATCTCTATTGTGTCCTGATAGAACCTATTAACAGAACCACTCAGGGCATTCTCAATCAAGATGTTGTTTTACAGGGCCAACAGTGGCTGCCAGAGATGGTACCAAAGCAAGCCATGGGGCAACCAGTACTGCCACCCCAGAGACTGCTGCCCTGGGGCGTTGAGGGCCAGAGGAGCATCCTTTGGCACCTCTTTCTGCCCTTGCTTCTCTGAAGTGTAGTCTGCGGAGACTATTGAGACAGAGCCCAGCTGACAAACAGTGGTGTTATGATGTACTAACCAAGTGGCAGCACTAGCTTGTAACTCATTTATGTTGGAAACATCACAAGTGACTGAACTATGCGTGCTTCTTGTTTTGGGTGGAGCTGGTGAATAATGTGCCCGTCAGATGCTGAGCTAAAATCTTTACATTTCCATGCCTTGCTTTCTAACTTGAAAGATGCAGACAAAATCAAAATGACTTACTGTCAAATGAGAACTTGAATATTGAAAGGCTTGCAACCCTGCAGAGAGACTCCATCAGTTTCAGAGTGTACCTTGCCTCTCTAGTTTTCTGTCTTAGTGAACGACTGCATAGCTGGAACTTGTTCTTAGTCTGCTTGCAGAGATAAAAACATGCTGGAGGACAAAGCTTAAAAGGATATTTAATGTGTGATGATTTGTCTTTATGTGACACTGGATTTGGTGAAGATGTTTGAGGACTAATCCTTAGCTTGTCAGAACAGATGTAACTGAATAAACGCATCCTGGTGAATTCATAGTGATTGTGAATCTAGCTCCTGTGAATTTAGTTTCCCTCTTAAACTCAATAGAATAAATTAACTGTATGGAATGATGTTTGCTGCGGTCCTCTATACAGAAGTATTGCAGTTTTGATTGGCTTCTAGGTACTACGTGAGGAGTATGTTACCAAGTTTTTTGTACCTTCTGCTTTTCCAGGCAACCTGAATTAGAATTTGGAAAGCTTGTCAGAAATTAGTATACTTGGGGCTTCTGGTCTTTGCCAAGCTAGTATGAATATCTAACATGCTGTGTTAAAGCTTAGTGGCAATATGGAAACCTTTCAATTCATTGCACTTTCAACAGCTGCCAAGCTGGCACTACAGCGTACAAGTTTTGAATCAATCTGGTGTGTTTTTTTCCAGGCAGACTTTTTTTCCTTACTGTAAAAACGGATTGCTCTTTTACTCCTATTTTAGAATAACATTTCACTTATGGTTTGTAAAATGCGGCTGGAAGGAGATCTAGGACAAGTGCCGTGGCTTGAAAAAGGTGAAATAATTTCTCACTAAGCATGTTTTTCTTATTTATCTATATAAACATTTTTGTTATTGGAAAGATAAGGCATATATTTGCCTTGTCTTTATGTATACTACTGAAACAAGTGAAATTTTTGAATAATAAATATAAAAGAGGGCATCCAGATCTTTATAAGCAGGTAGTGCTTTGGAGTGTATCTGGATTTTGATGTTAAGTTTCAGATACCATGGAGGAGTTTTGTTTTCACAAAGTATACCTCATCAATGCATTTTTCAGGTGCTAAGCATTCTAAATTAATATTTTATTTTTTGATCTGCACTCCTACAATTTTTCAAGTGATTAAGAGTAATACAGTGAGAACCAAATTCAGTAAGTAGTGAAAGTGAAAAAAAAAGTGAAACTAATGTTTTGTTTTGTATTTTTGCCACAGTATTGTAGCTTACACTGTAAACTTGTGAGGGTTTGAACTCTATCCTGTGCTCTGAATCAGAACTGGAAATAGAGCTCTGATCAAGTCAAGAAATTTTAAATGGAACATACGTATTTGTTAGGGGACAGAAGTAGAGATAGATGCCTTCAACACTGGTCTGCAACTTCAGCATGCTAAAAATGTGCTTGCTGCAAGCAGCTGATACTCTTCAAATATGTCTGATCTAGCAGATGTCTTAGTTAGGGAGCTATGACCTCGAACACTGGCTTATGTAGAGAGGTTGGCTTCCAGAGAGGAGCTCCCAAAGAGACAGTCAGAGAGAGAAAATAAGGAAGGAAAATGATTTTATTTGTTGCATCCGGTTAACCGGTAACAAAACAAACAGAAAAACAAACTCAATTATATCCTGGATTTCAAGAGCTTCAATTCTAAACTTGGTTTGACCCGGTTACTTTGGGCTGTCTTTAGAAAATGAAATGCTGCCTTTCCTCCTAGGTTTGAAAACTGTTTCCGGCCTGGGATTTATGGCTAGTGGTGGGCCTCAAAGGACCGCATAATGTTCAGTGACTGAAGCAGATATAGCTGCAAACACAACCCAAAAAAGAGGATTATCAATAGATTTCTACAGTGTTTCTTTCTATCTCATGTAGAGGACCCCAAGGAGTTTTCTCCTCTCTTTTTTTTCCTTGTTTCAGCTTAGTGAATCGTGTTTGGGGACTGCATGTTGTGGTCAAAATGTCAACAGTTAAAATGCATACATTTCTAAGCTGCTTGCATGGCTTTAAAATATTCTACACTGAGATTTTATCTTGTTCTCATCCAAAATATAGAAGTTGGCTATTTCTGCTGGAACTATTAAATGCTTTTTGAGGCTCATGCCTAAAATAAGCGCTGTTGGATTCTGGCAGTGGTTTATATTGTATGCCTTCTGAGCTGTGCGTTTCCTTGTCAGAATGTGTGAACAGATTACGATACTGGCAAATCATGCTGCTAGTAATCCACAGGCAAATCAGATAAGGGAACACTGAATGGCCCTTGTGGTTTCCAGGCAGGCTTCGCTGGCGGCAGAAAGAGTTTTGCTGCAGAATTCAGTGGGAGTAAGATGCAGCTTCCATAGGGAGGGGCAATGATGTTTTTTCACTTGCAGTTAGTATCTGGTTTGAGGAGTACTGAATATAAGGCATTACAAGATAAGAAACATTAACTTATTTTCTAGTTGGACCATCATAGCTGATGGAAAAATTAGAAATTCTAACATTTCATATTTATAGTTATTGTATTTTCCTTGAAGCACTGTTCACATATAACTTTGAATTCCTAACTCTTCTATGTCCTCGCACATTGGAATAAATCCGGGAGAAGAGTTGAAGCCTTGCAGCTCTTCCACAGATCTATGCCTGTAATCTTGTTAGCACTTTACTTGTATCTTTCTTTCATTCTCTTTCTGAATGCATTCTTTATCATTTCCAGCAAGCCCATTTCCAAAAAAACCCACTGTTACTCAGAAGACAGTTTTCATCTTCTTATGGTAGGTTCTTTTCTACCTACTTTTTTTTTTTTTTAATATAAAGAACAAAATATGGCTGAAGGAAAACTTGCTTTAAGGAAACAAAACTTGACAGGGCTAAAACAGGACTTGAAGGGAAGATTATTTAATTCCACTATGGCACTTGGGATGGGTCGTTGCCCTCCTTATTTCTCTCTCTTTCTTGTGGACCACTGATGGATTTAATAGGAATATGGTAAGGCAAACTAAGTTCATTATTTTAAACTTAGTATAGGAATGTGAGTCAAATAGAATAAAAGAAAAGTGTAAGGAGATAATTAAAAGGAATAATGGATTAATTTCCATCACTGTACAAGAAAAACTCTCTTGGAACTGATTAAGGAGAACTGCAGGATATGGCAAAGAATTTTAAAAAAGCTGCATCTGGCACTTGATACCTAAAGCTGTAAGCACACCATCATGACAACATGATACAGGTGTTTGTGTGCATTTTCTGTCACAGGTCTAATCACCTAACACAAAATCTTATCCAAACAAGTTCTGAGACCCATATTTTAGTTAGAAAGTACATGAAAAAAAAAAACCACAAACACAACAGCTTCATGAAATTAGCTAAATTTTAGTGGATCGTGGTCATAGGTCTCTGACAGCAAACGTGATTTGATAGAATCTGAACTGCTTTTTTCTTAGAGAAAAGAAAAATATTCTTATCTCAACCCTGTTTCATTTCTCTCTGTGAGCTATGTATGTGGGGAAAAGTTCAGACCTTGTTACTTTTCCTAACACTCAGACTATTTTAGATCAGACAAAAGAGAAAAGAGTCACTGCTGAATGAGACTCTGTTTCCATTACTTAAGATGGTTCTCATTTTGCTGTAGAAATACGTGTGAAAGAAAAAGAAGCAGCTGCGCCAAAGAGCCCAGTAACCCAGAAGTTTCCTGTCCTATTCTTTCCTATGGAGAATGCTGGGATTTGGAAGCTCTCAAGACAAACATGCATCTATATTCCCGTATAAGACTACAGCACAGCTGCCAAGATTGCAAGATACCACAGAATCTGTAGTTGCCTCTGAGACCAACTGTGCTAGGAATGGATAATCCTGCCTTTTATTTATAAATAAAAATATATTTTTTAAAAATTCCCTGTTATCCATTAAAGTCAAATGTGTGCTAGGATAAACAGAAGTGAAAATGGTTAATTCCTAGGGCCTAGGACTATTTCATCTGGATGGGATTTTGTGACAGTTTTTCCTATAGCGCCTTATAATTCTTGTTCACATGCACCAGAAACACCGTGAGAAACAAGCACTGACTGGTTATGGGTGGATGTGTTTTTCTTTCTGGGATGCGCACTATAGAGTTGCATAAAACTGGAAATAAACAGTTGTCTATCACACGGAACAAAGATGCTGAGTTCACTTCAGATGCAATTAAAATCAGGGTTGAAATACTGCTTGTGGTCAATGGTTCTAGGAAAGCTATAATGTTACTGATGTAACGTGGACTTTCCCAGCTGCTGTGGAAGTTAGAGACTGTATACATATAGCTTTGTTCTCATCCAGTTTGAGAACTGACAAATATCCCGTTTTTGCCTGCACAGTACCCTGATGCTGACTGTGGGTAGTCTTCTGTTGCAGCCGCTGCTTCTCCTTGGGAGCATTGCTCTCCAGAAACAAGGTTGTACATGAGCCAACCAATTTACTTTCCCCCGTTATCTTAGCTCTTAAGCTATGGAAAGATAACGGTGACTACAGGAAGACTGTTTTAAAGTGATACGTTCCATTTTGCCACGGAGGCTGGGATGCTGCTCTCTGGATGTGACAAGGAAGAAAACCTTATATGCATGGTTGACCAGAAGAATTCCTTGAATGTGGCTGAATGTGACTTGCCAAGGAAATAGGTTATTATTTTCTCCTCTCTGCTTCCTCTGATGGCACTTTTTTTCACTATGTGAGAATGGTGAAAATAAAAGATAGTAGAAGAAAGGAATGAAAGAGAAAGATCAAAGTTTTTGATTCAGTCAGACTTAGTGATCACTTTATTAACATTGTATTTACAATTCAAGGTTTAAAAAAAAAAGTCAAAGTGCAGATTTGTAAGCGTGCTTGCTGGATACGTTAATGTAAACTGAGTTATTCTATTGTGACCTGCTGCTGATATTTCTACATGAGAACAACCCATTCTCACCAGTAGGGTCCAGTTCAACAACTACCTCTCGGGGAGAAGTGGGATTAAATATCACCCTATTAATATCTGATGCTTGTCTTTATAGGTTTTATTTGGCAATAGAAATGTAGCGTTTGGGTTTCTAGAGTATACGTAGCTTGATAGAAGATTGCTCAGATTCTGCAATGCAGCAGCACTCCTTCAGAAGTCAGCTAGATTTTTTACAGAGGGAAAAATAACTTTATGGTCCAATCTCACAGTTGGTTTTAAGCAACTTGACCTGTAGTCAAATTGAAATTTCCCTCCAAGTTTAAGGAAAATCTTCAGAGGCTTTAAATTCATGTCTTTAAAAATGTTTTTATGTTTTGTCACTTACTGTAAGCTCAGAGCTGTAACCATGTCTTGATATTTGACTCTATTATAAAATTCAGTCATTTTCCCTTAATGGAATATCTAATAGTTTTTAATGGAATGTCTAACAGTTGTTTATTGGTAAGCAAACATCAGCCTTCACTCATTATTGTGGCAAACATATGCGGACAGAAGGGCTTACTCTTCCAGTATGAGGCAAAGAATAAAGAACTTTATATTGGCTTGAGAGCATTTGTACTAGTTCAAGTATAACAACAGAAAATCCCTTCTACCACGTCTCCAAGAACCAGGCATGAATCTGATAGAGACATCTGTGCCTGGAAAATGTGCTATGTGCTGGCCAACTTGTCTGTGCAGGGTGAAATATGGGGTAAGTGAAAGTACTTCCCTGGTAAAGCGAGTAGTAGTAAAGCTACACAGAAACGAGAAAGAGGCTTCTCCTCTGCTCAGTGATACCTCCTGCCAAGGCACGCCAGGGTAAGAAAAGAGATGAGCAGAAACATTCTAAGATGAAAGGAAAATAAAAAGGAAAGAGAACAAAATCGAGTGGTAAGAGAGAGGCCACAGAAAGCACCATGGAAAAAAAGATCAAAAAAGATCTATTCTTCAGCAATCAGGTGCTCTTACATTTCTTAGAATATGTTGCTAGCTCACCATGACAAGTCTGCAAGCTAGTTAGCACCCTGTCTTGAAGTAAATTAGGTGAAATAAAGGGGGAGATCAAGGCATTTTAGTAAGGGCAAAACTGATCTAATTAAGTAAAGATCTGCAGAGATTTTTCCTTTTATTTTTAAATGACTTTGGTCATAAGGCCAAAAATGGGAAAACAAAGGCTGCTCAGCCTTGCTCTTGTCCCTGAAAAAATCATGGGGTGAGTTCTCCTGGAAACCATTTCTGGGCACATGAAGAAAGTAACGGGGAACAATCAGCGTGGTTTTACTGAAGGTAAATTATGCCTGATTGCCTCCTATGATAGAATAACTGGATTTATGGATGCAGAGAGAGCAAGGGCAATTTGCTTTGACTTAGAAAAGCTGTTGATAGCATCTTTCACAGCACTCTTGTATTGGAATTAGGAAGATATTGTCTGGATAATGCGATTAGAAAAAATCAGGTCAGATGACTGAGCCCAAGGGAAGTGGTTTGAGGGTCATACTCTACATGGATGGCATTAATGAGTGGGATGACACGTATCTGTCCTTGAGCTTCTTTACCAGTGATGTGGCTGAGATGATGAAGAGCTTGCTTATAAGTCTGCAGGTGATGCCCAGCTTGTGGGAGCAGTCAGTCTGCTCGAGGGCAGGGCTGCTGTTCAGAGATTGGATGGAGGAATGCGCTGGTGGGACTGAATGAAACTCAGTAGGGACAAAGATGAAGTCCTGACCAGCGAAAGAAGAGGCCCTGCCAAAGAGAAGGGCTGGGCATTGACCAGCCATGGAGCAGCTCTGTGGGAAGGAAGCCATTTGCCATTCCATGCTCCCTGTCCCCATCCCCCACTCTACTTTTTCCCAGCTTGATTTCCACGCTATCTCAAAAATGTTACAGGACATTAAAGCAATCTAGAGATAGGTAGCAATAAAAAGTAGAGATGCAGAAGACTGTTATAAAGGCCAAATAAATTTCAGAACTCTTTAGACACATTAAGTGAATACACTGCAGAAGTGTAGAGTGGGTAAGCTAGAAGTTCTCCTAGCTCTCCTTCACAGAAGATGATGTTAAATCAGAAAAAGATTTTAAAGAAATACATCTTATGCAACTATCCAATCTTTAGCACTCACTGAAACCAAGAACGAAACAGCATTCAAAACCCAAATTAGGAATTTATTAACAAGAGTGAGAATGGTGAGTTAGGCATGGTAAAAACTCTCCTGCAATTAATAAAGACCATTGTTCCTGAGGACATGTGACAAATACAACTCATAAAATGTATCTTTGTCACACCGTTTTAAGATTTTACATCCATTAATAGCGTCTTTGAATACTTGTTGAATTATCTGGACTGTCACTGCCCTTTACTAGGAGTGATCTATTTTTTTTAGGCTGCTCCTTTCGGTGCTTAAGTAGTCTGAGTAAAGGTGCTGGATATGGACAGGCTTCTGGCAGCGCTGCAGAACTCGCACTGCAGTTGTGAAATAGGCTGTGGAAGGTGATGACTATGGAAAGGGATGGAGGAATGTATCAAGTAACACAGTGCAAGAATGTAGTTGCTCACAAAAATGGGGTTGTGGAGAATGTAGTGAAAACCAAGATGCTGCTAGGAAGAGGACACTGACAAAGATGCTGCTGTTGGAGGAAGGGCAGAAGGGGGTGTAATCACAATAATGGAGAGAGATCTGAAGTTAACTAAGGTGGCATTGAGCTTCAGGCATGCTGCTATTTTAGTCCATCTTCTGGAACTGCAGGGTTACTTACTGGAAATCTAGTCTGAAAAGGCATTCTTTGTGTAATACTCTAAGTAGAAAGCCATCCCAAGGGATGTGAATTACCAAATACTGTGACGCAGTAGTGTAGAATATAAACCCAAACAAATCAGGGTTCTCAAAGGCCTATAGCTAAATATTTATTTCAAAGTCAATTTAAAAACAGAATTTTCATCCAGCAAGAGCGTACAGTAATCCAGCAGGTCTCACGTGGCTCTGTTATTTCTTCATGCCACATTTCCAACCCTAACAGATTTTAATGTTCAAAGACTTGGCGTTTACAGTGGGATGGGTCCTGTCTGCTTTAGGTAACAAAAAGGGCACTTTTCACTGTATTTAACAGTGCAGCAGCAGTACTTATCTATTCAACACGAGTTACAAAAATTAATAGCAACTCTAACTTGAGCCTATTAAAAAAAAGACATGAAGCAGGCAGGATTTATGATTTACACTAAATTTACATTTATCATTTAATTCTTCAACAAGCCTCAAGTTAAGGTTCCATGGAATTCATTCAGTAAGAATGTGGCAAACTTACATTTTCTGAATTTGAAAGACAGTCTTACCACAAATTAATTTGTTGCTGATAAACAAGTTTTGAAACATTTGAGTTTCTTAAGAGAAGTCTGGGAACACTCATTCCTCTTACTGAATCCTTTTCCATTCATTAATAACCACAAGGACACAGACGCAACCATTTTTTTGAGCTTGTGGTCCTCCTTCATGATAGAAGTCTCAGTATTTATCTACATCTATGGTCACCTATGAAACTTTGGTCTATCCATTATTTCTTCAATCCTCACAGAAACTGTTAAATGTAGTGCTGTCACAACCCAACAGATGAATTAAAAGTATTCAGGTACCAGAGTAAGGAGCAGTAACATATGCTTCTATTTGTGTGGTTTGCTATTTTTACACTTGCAGCTTTTTTGCTCTAAAGGGCTGGTTTTGGGGGGGATAGAATTCAAGCATGAGCAGATTTCATGACTTTAACTGTGAAAGTCTGTTATCTATTTTCTACATCACAA